AGAAGTATCATGTCCTGAAGTCGTATAATACAAAAATTATCTGCAAGCGCGAAAAATACGAATTTAAGGACAGAACTGTTAAAAGATTAATTTCCGCTAAGTCCACTTGTAGCATGCACTCTCATCCTGACTACAGATGTAGATTTTGGAGTCAAACAAATCGTAGACTTGCTCCATATAAATAGTCTTAATTCGGTATTTATTGATCATTTCGTCAGTACTGACGTCCAGGCTACATGGTCAATAAATATCACATTCTATCGTCAATGCTACTACTACAAAAATCTATTGGCATCTCAATCAATAGAAAACAAAGAAAGCTCGAGTAAACTCGATGTAATCCAATGGGAAAATAAAATCTCATCGTCATCCCATAAAAATTCAATACAGGTAGGACTAGGCCGTATATATTTCGGGAAGCAAGTGGATTTTTTACTGTGGCTTCAGGTCCGATTCAATTTCGGCGAACATCTTTTCCGAGCGCTTCGGCGATTGATAAAAATGTGATGTGGTGGTGTACCTCATACTTGTTGATTTTTTTAACAAAGCGCGTCAGAAAACAAGAGACTGGAATTCCAGCCAAAAGTTCAACTAAGACAATTTGTTTGAAAGTATAGTGAGTGACAGAAAAAAGAACACCCAATAATGTTGAATTTACCACAAACATTTTTTTGTGAATTTCAGAAAAATCGAGTCGTTGAAAACTGTAAGAAATTAATAATTTGTTGGGCCGCCATCATGTCTGATGTACCAGAAAGACATGAGGGCATACTCCTAATCAGATGGACAATTTGCTCTTGAGATGTCTTATCCCAGGAGCGAAAGATCGGGAGATCTAGTGGCCAAGGCAACCACAGTCATTCTGACCCTATGTGGCTATGCATTATCTAAGGCAAAAGATGTGATTCCCTCACTTCCTGAATGAAATGCATGGCGGCCATGTTGTCTTCTATGAACTCTAAAAGTGACCTGCTTCTATAAAAGCATAGAGCTCTCTATACCTAATTCAAATAGTGTGGTACACATGCGCTTCCTCAGACAATTGTCTTCCACCTCGCTGCCTTCTCACCCTTGCGCGACCATCATGCATCTCCAAACATAATCTGGATTCATCACTAAAGACAATGGTATTCCAGTCGAGTTCCCAATTCAGCCGAACTCTAGACCAGACCAGTCGATCACTTCGGTGTCTAGGAGTGAGAGGTGGGACAAACTAAGGATCGCATGAAGTAAGTCCAAAACTGTAGATCCGGCGCAGTCTTTCTATGCTTCCCAAACCATAGTATAGCCAAAAGCCTGGTGTAACACGCCCTGTACCTCTAACTCTTCATATACTGCCTTCCTGGTTCCGATAACAAACCACAACCGTATTGAAACTTTTGTGCAATTCTGTGGCAGTTTCTCCAAATGACCAACCAGCCACACTCAAGCCCACTATTTGTCTCCTATCAAACTCGCTAGGCTGTTGAAAATTATCTGGTCTTTTCACTCTAGGCATAATGACCAGATTGAAGCAGCTTATCGCTTACTTACTTTTTTGTAAGAAGAGACGATATCACAAAACCACTTTATCGATATGGTTGAAAGCTGATAATTTTTTGTCCAACCTAAACAAACATAAACCTTGAAAATATGTGTAATGCGTTCATTATTACTAGGTGTTCTTTTTTTTAATTCACTAGGTATATATCAGCAGCGGTGGCCGCTGTAGTAGACTCTTCGGTCTCCTGATCAGTCGCCGTGCGCTGTGCGGGTTCGAATCCCGTTCCAAGAGAAATTTTTCTCTTTACTATGGATGTTGTGATTGTCCGTAGGTGGTAGACGGTCTCTGACTGTCGAACGTGGAGGTACCACCCGGTGGATCTCGTAGGCGGAGCCAGAATGTGTGCATGTTGCATGCACAAGTGTTCCCTCGCCAGAGTCCGTGTGGCGTTCCCCCTGTCCCCTGTATCCCCCTATAGCCCCACGGTACCCACTGGATGTTCAGGCCTTAGGCCTTCGTGGTAGTTGGAGTATAAAAAAAAATCAGGTGATCGTACATATTATTTATCATGTGAGAAATAGCGACATTGTCAAACATAGCTGTAATGAAAATTTGAATCCGTTATACCTTACTCAGGAAGCATTTTCGAATAATAATAGAGCACAGAATATTCAATGAGCTTGAAAAATATAAATATTTAGCGTTCTTACCAGTACCATAAGTGCTAAATGCTATTACGATTTTAACTTGTTTAAGTTTAGGAATCTCCAAAAAATATCTGCTCGTCATATCCTTTTGTCAAATGATGAGGTTTGGTAAATGCAGTAACATCTAGCCGTTTTTAGCAGGTCACACTAAAACTACCAGCATCAGTTTTGCATATCAATCTCCTTCACACATACAAGTCTGCCTCTTTGCGCAAACGTTTGTTTCTGTAAGCTCAGAACAAACGTTATTTAGCTTCGTTCCACCAATTTATGAGTATACCTAATGCTTGTTACCGTCAGTGACAGACCACTTGACATGAGCGTACCTTTTAGTGTATATCTAATATTAATCTTCGTAATATAAAATACTAGTACCTCAAAATACAACTAATGGACAATATCGATAGTTTTGCAAAAATTACTGTGTAGTATTTTGAGAAAGTAAATGAAAGCAATGGTTCTTTATTATCATTTCATGTTTACAGGAGCATCTGCGTTTAAGATCGGTTTGCTCAGTGAGCAATTTAGATAGTAGATAGTAGATTAGTAGATTTGCTTACTGGTTTCGTATGGCGTTGATGCCAAAGCGAATAAGTAAACAGATTGTTTAATGTTACCCTGCGCGTAGATTTACTTTCCTAAAGGAAATTCCACACCACGCAAGTTCATCCATAACGCTGCTGTTGCTCGCTCTTGTACACACCCATATGAATTGGGCGATACAGGACCGTTGTGTCGAATTTATTCCTGGAGATACTTCTAGTACAGATTGTCGAAATTATAGTTGCGTCTCCAGGCACTAGTGTGTCTCTATATCAAAGATCAAAGAAGTTAGCATATATGGTACGCTCATGACAAACGCGTTGTCATACTGACAATGAGAGACATAAATGTGGAAGACTCATACGTTAATGAAAACATGTTACAAGACGGTGAGTCAAGGCCAACAAACGTATGTCTTTGAGCTTGCATAAAAAAACTTCCGCGATCAAAGGACAACTTCATATAATGTTTTTGTGAGGGAGATGGATGGATGAAAGTAATTCCTGCAGTCTTACTGGGAATCACCAAAACCGTGGAAAGGCTTATAAGAAACAATTATTAACACTAACACTTCATATATGTACTTGTCCAGATAATAAGCTTCGCATTTTATACGAATCTATTATGCTCAACTTATTTACACTATTATTTCTAGCATCATCACTTCTGCTTCCGGTATATTTGACTCGATTCTCGTAAAGCCAACAAGATGCTTCCAAATCACCTACAAATAGCAAAAAACCTCATCGATAAATCGCCCAGTGACATCAGTTAACTAGAGTGGGACAACATGCGGTTACGCTCCAGCGACGTTATTTGCACAGCCTAGACTTAACCGCTAGTGATGTAGACAGACATTTTAGTGCGTAGTTACATCTACCTATCTGTGATCTCAATATAGTTGTGCGTCATTGTTGGTGAATATCTGTGGTTCCAGCATAGCTGTCCTCGTTTAGGAAATATCTTCAGCAGTAAATGGTTGTATATATAGTTATTTTTCTGTATAGGTATAGATGAAAATGCTGTACTTGGTCGGCACCTACCATTTGGCCTTCATTATGGTGTTGGTAGCGAGCGGCCAGGGCTTCTCCAGTGGTAAGTAGCTTTTTGATTTTTCATGTTGGAGATGGTGGATTCGAGAAGACAGCATATTGAGGAAATAAGTAATGGTTCATTAGTTGAAGCCTGATCATATGTTTCTTCTTGTCAAGTCAGCAAATAGAAGGTTTGAAATACATCTTGCTGATAGGTTGAGAAGGATTTGAGGATCTTATAAATCGCTATGAGGCTGAAAAAAGAAGTCGTCCAATTATTCTTAGATATATTTGAGGCTTTGAAGAAATTTTGTTTCTAGACTAATTAATTGTAATGCAGAATGCGATACTATATGCGTGTAGCCGAGTTACATCTTGAATTCTTTTCAAACTTTTTTGGGCTACTTTTGGAATACGGATACCCACATTTATAATCGACCCTTAATGGCTCACTGCCACTTGACGATTATTCAACCCTTGAATTCTTAATGAACAATACCACATCCACGTTTTAAAAATGTTTAAAATTTTTATTTTTTTAGAATTTATCAAGTTTGCAAAATTTCAAAGATCTCTGAAAAATTCGATTTAGAATCTTCAAAATTCTTGTAATTTTCGATGTTTCCAAGATTTTTATATTATTTTAAGACCTTCAAACAACTAGGAAACTTCAAAAACTTGAAGCTGAAAATTTTTGAATACTCGAATGTTTTGAGAGTATTGAAAAGATTTAACATTTTTGGAAACTGAAAATTGTGAATATCTCAAGATCTTCGAAAGTTTTGACACCTTTGAAATAGGTGAAAAGTTTGTATAATTTTGAGAGATGAAAGCTTCCATAATTTTTAAAATTCGAAAGTTATGAAGTCTGTAAGTTTTAGAAACAGAAATTTTGTCAGTTTTGAAAGTTTCAAAGATGACCACTTTTTTGAAGACTTTTAAAATCTTCTAAATGATGCATTAATGCTTATCTAAAATTCAATAAGCATGAATCTGGGCTTAAGGGAATCATACAAAATGAATGCGGAATTAACATGTGACCTCAATGATGTCAAATAAGAGCGTGAAAGTTATGCTAGTGTACAGCATAAGCACTGATAAGTTTGACTCAAAATTCTGGAAAGATCCAATAAGTTGATCTTTCATATCTATATATTTACTTCCTTAGGAAGCTGTGTTTTAGTGGGTTAGCGGATCAGAGACAGTGGGTCAAGCTTCAATGTGTTGACAAGATGTTGACACAGATCACGAATTTGATTAAGGGACACAGGGATAATACACACAAATTGATTCGCATAGGACGATGATCCACATATGTTTATATCCTCAGTAATGCTGTCTCTCCTACCACCCAACATCTGTCGAACTTCAAAGCTACGTTTAGTATACCCAGGATGCATTGGCCACCACAAAAATGTGGATAAATCCAATTCCTTTGAGTGAGTACCGCTAATATGTATAATCTCCGTCGAAGGTATATATCCTTACGATTTACAGGGTGTTTCAGTTTATTGTTGCATAACTTTAAGATTCGATAGAACTTTTAAAATTAATGCATAAAGTCTATACAAACATGGGTCGAAAAATGCGTGGCTTCCGAAATACAGGGTGTTTAAATTTACTTTCTGAAATAGTTTTTTTTTAAATATTTCGAACAATATTTGATGTATAACAGTGAAAATTGGTATACAAGGGTTTTTTGGTACGACAAAATAGTTTTACTGTAGCCGCTAGAGGGCGCTCTCTACTGTACCTGTAGTGTATTAAAATGACCGAAAATTTTTTCTTAGTGCAATTTTTTGCTTTTTGAATAAAAAAACTGAGTCTTCACACTTTTCAACATAAAAAAGCTCTCTTGTGAATTTTCGTTATAGTTAGCCGTTTTTGAGATATTTTTATTTTTAAGGTTCGATGAATTTTTAATTATTTATGATAAAATAACGTTAAAAAGTCAGTATCTCCATAATTTTTAGAATTCTGCGTGAGTTTGATAGAGATCCGACCACAAGTGCTAGGAGAGTTTCTGGTGCCTTGAGAATTTCAGCAAGCCATGTTCACCGTGTTCTTAGAAATGACCATAGACGTCCTTACCATTTGCAACCTGTTCAAGGACTACAGCCAGGGGACGGAGAACGAAGAATCACATTTTGTCAGTAGACTCTTGATAGAACTGATAATAATAGGGAGATTTTAAGTAACGTTTTATGGACCGATGAGTCTTGCTTCACTAGACGTGGAGTGGTAAATTTTCATAATCAACATATTTGGTCGCATGAAAATCCGCATGCAGTTCGGGAAAGAAATTTTCAGCATGAATTTAGTGTGAACGTGTGGATTGGTATCTACCGTAATCGACTATTTGGACCCTACCTTTTGCCTGCAAGGTTAAATGCTGCGACCTTCTTGGAATTTTTAAAGGCTGAATATGCAAATATATGGGATGATGTTATGTTAGATTTAAGAAGATTGGCCTGGTTCCAGCTTGATGGTTGTCCAGCTCATTATTCGAGAATAGTTAGAAACTGGCTGGACGAAAATTATCCAGAAAGATGGATCGGCCGTGGAGGACCAGTCGCCTGGCCTCCACGATCCCCTGGCCTAAATCCATTAGATTTCTTTGTGAGGGGATTTCTAAAAGAAAAAGTGTACCAGACTCCCGTAACCACAAGAGATATGCTAATAGACAGAATCAGGAAAGCATGTGATGAAATAAGGCTCTATTTGAATAATGCTATACCACGTTCGATCATTCGTAGATGTGAATTGTGTATTGAACAATTGGGTTTACATTTCGTGCAACTACTTTAGATTTTGTATGTTTTTTCTAACTATCCAATAGCATTTTAGTTGTAAATAATTAATTTAATTTGTTAAAAATAATATTGGAAAATTAAACAAATTAATATTCAGTTTTTTTGTGTTTATTTGGAGTTAGGAATTATTGCTGTGTTTAAAAACGCAATCTAAACGATCATCTTAATTACTTGTAATGCCCAAATCGAAGATGTAAACAAAATATTATTTTCCCATAAATAATAAAAAATGCAGCGAACCTTAAAAATCGAAATATCTCAAAAACTGCTAACTATAACGAAAATTCACAAGAGAGCTTTTTTATGTTGAAAAGTGCGAAGAATCAGTTTTTTTATTCAAAAAGCAAAAGATTGCACTAAGAAAAATTTTTCGGTCATTTTAATACACTACAGGTACAGTAGAGAGCGCCCTTTAGCGGCTACAGTAAAACTATGCCCATGGTTCGTTTTATCGTACCAAAAAACCCTTGTATACCAATTTTCATTGTTATACATCAAATATTGTTCTAAATATTTAAAAAAAAACTATTTTAGAAAGTAAATTTAAGCACCCTGTATTTCGGAAGCCCCGCATTTTTCGTCCCATGTTTATATAGACTTTATGCATTAATTTTAAAAGTTCTATCGAATCTTAAAGTTATGCAACAATAAACTGAAACACCCTGTATTTTCTGTCGTCCAAGTATTCCGGTATTAGTACACTACTTACTATGGTTATATTCTAAGGCCGACTCTGCTAATCCTCTATAGTTTTTCTAGAAATTCTTTAACGTCACATAAACGCAGTGCGTAACAGAGACATTATCAATTATTGATGACAAGTATCGGTTTTACAGATGATGAGTGCAAACCGCCGGAAGTGAATTCGGCCTGAGAAAGAGAAAAATCGATCTATACAACTCTCAAATGACAAAACAACTCTCTCTAAGCCTTTAAATGCCTCTTTCATAACTTTGTTTTCTCGCCAACTACACAATTCTTAAAGCGATAAACTCTCAACAATGGTTCGATGCCGCGACCGTCGATTCGACAATCGACAACAGATCAAGAAGGCGGTGCACAGAGCTCTGCGATCTGCGATAAGTTTATTTGAGTCGTGAATTACGGGTGGCGGCGACTTTACGGCTACGCTGGTTACGCGGTCGCCGTTTGCGCTACCGGTAAGTCTAGTTGGCTATGACTCGGGCCAAATGCCGCGAAGAATTATAATGAGCTGGAGGATTGAATGGTTACGACGCGACGTGAGGAATTGCGAGATTCAATGGATGTTGTGGAACGTGAAAAAGCTTTGTGATTGGAAATTACATTGATGAAAGAAGATTACCAAACAAACACTCCACATAATAGATTACGACATATTTTCAGAACATGCGTCAGAAAGGATCATTATATTTCTTGTTTTCGTAGTTATATGATATGATTATTAAGGTAAGTAGCATTTGGAATAATCCTCTTAGATGATCAATTAAATCATCTTACGTGTCTAATTTTTAGAGACCCTGCACCAGCTACCAATTTGAGTACAGATTAGACCATTGTCAACCCTATCAGTCTTTTCACTAAATGACTCAGATGAGCTGTACGAGTACAAACTATGGTAGGATGTAGTTAATTTGTATCTATTCAGAGAGCCCTGGCCTAGTAAATAGCCGTCTCTGTCGAGTCAGGAAAAAAGCCCAATACAAATATTTTATGTTCCTTCTCTCCAAAATGCTGAGCCATCAATGATTGCATACTCAGCAAAAACTGATATTTATCTGCTTCATTAATGAAATAAATCGAGCGTTAATTGGAACAAATGATATAGCATTCACAGCGACTATAGGTCTTACAACAAAAAACGAATAACTTACAATGATTTCCACAAAATGTTCTCGTTCTAGTGTGCTATTCAAGTATCATCATAGTTCTGATTTCTAGGTGCAGATATCCGACGAACTATGAAGCCAAGATATACATGCGATAATCTGAGGTCTAGAAACTGAGCAAATGATGCATACTTACCAATATCCTATGATTTAGGATGATTTAGATCAAACAATGCCCAAATATCGTGCGATCAATGCTCCAATTCGTTCTCTTGGACTTTGAAATTGCCCCAAGCAATGTGAAGGTGAGTTCGAAAGGGTAGCTTACTAATTCTATGTATATGGAGAGCACACGGGAAAAAAGATCTGAGTCACTTTTGGCAACTTTTGAGATAAATCAGTTTTCAAATTTGAATGTGTCCCGTTATTACATACTGAAACAAATAAAATATCTATGTGTCTCAACTAGGAGATTTATTACCGTTTTAACATAACTAAAGCGGGTATTAGAACAAACAAACAACACTACACAGAATAAAATGAAAAAAGAATCTAAGTCCAAAAAAATCTTTGAAGTTCTTTTCAAGTAAAAAAGTGAAGTGTGGTTAATTTATAGTGCCTGCAAAGAAGAAAATGCTTTAGTTTGCTCAAATCAAAATGGATAGTAAACTTACGTTTCATCATCACTACTATTTGTATCTATAGTCGGCAACTCCATGTAGTATTTTTGATGTTCTTCTTCACCGAATTTCCTTAGGTAATGTAGCTGAAGGTCATTTTTCTTTGGTACCGGATAGCTTGCTTTTATAACAATTTTGGGGATCCGTCCCAAGTCAAATTTGGGCCCGCAATAATGAAGCTAAGTCTCGGTCCGTTATAATTTTCTCTTGTTTCTATTGTTCTTGGATGCTTATGGCTTATGCGCATTTCTCTTAACAGTCTTGTGGAAAATGGGCACTTCCTCTTGTAGGATGGTGCTAAAAAATCTGTCCAGACGAAAAACGTCTTGCTTTCATTTTACGACATCAAACGGTCGTGGTTTGCATCTGGCGTTTTTAAAAACTTCTACCCATTGTTCTGTGACATCAACTTCAGTTTTTTGATTGATTAGACCAAAGTCCTTATCACATTCAAGGTATGAATGACCTCTTATAGGAAATGTGACCATCAGGCAGTCAAAGCGTTTTTTTTTGATGGACCAAGGAATGTAAAAATCTTATGAGGGTATAATTTTTGTTTTGGCCAGCACAGTAATCACAAAATATCTCTAAATGTCGAGTCAAGAATATTCAAACAAAAATGGTTCAAAAACGATACAACATCATCTGACCCCGACAAATAGATTGCACTGATGAAAGGATATGGACATTAAAGCTTACGAACTTAAATTGCCGTTTATAATAAACGTCAGTAGTTGTAATGTTCGGCATTGATAGATTCTTTGAATAATCCATTGTTATAGCTTCATAGCTTAGTTGTTTTCGGGAATTTTCCTTAGCATTACGTTTCCTTATGTGAAAGTTTTGTTTTCCGCTTTAAGTTTGTGTAATTTGTGTTCAGCTTCAATAGCTCTCAGCAGTTTTTCTATATCTGACTTTTTTTGATTTTAACTTCGTCACAGTAACTGCAAGTATCTGATCTATACCCAAATCCAATGTTGAAATTTGTCATATGTTGCTCAACAAGTTGCACCATTTCTGGACTCATCTTATGTGGCCGATTGTGATGCCTACATACGATTTGAAAGTTACACAAATTTAATATTCCAGCTTCTGTACTATACACTCTTCACCTCTCATATCGCCAACTGAGCTGCCCTGCCTTTGAAGACGACTTTTTATTGTTATTAGTATAATGTTTGTTATTCCATGTAGACTGATAAATGCCTGCTGACACACTAACATTTCATGGAATCCATTATTCAACTCATTTCGAACCCTTATTTTATAACTAAATGTATTGGATCTCAAATTTGCATAATCTTCACTCTTCCGTGGCCGACGTCTTCTAATTGGCAGCATAGAAACTAGCCCAGCTAAATGTCTACTGTCTAGTAAATTGAACGCTCTTACAATATTATTTTTTTCGCCATCGCTCAATTTTTGAAAGCAACGATATTTACAGTTACAAGGATTCACAGTCTCAAATGTATGATTTCGGACATGTTTCCCAACATCTCTTACAAGACCACAAGACTCTCTCTTTCGTGTTTTATTTAAGACGTCTGTCAAAGGGATAGAGTCGCTCTCACTACTGGACATCATAATACGATTATTTCTGACCTTGATAACTACAGACTGAAAATGCGCTGCATGCTTGGACACGTTCAGAATCAGACTGAACGGCTCCCTTGTTCCTGCTTTGCTCAGCTATCGGACTTGGATCGGCTATCCGTAAATTGGGAGGACTTAGATCGCTCTTTCATTGTACGTTCATTTTTCAACGCAAATATAAGGGATTCCGATCGGTCTTTCAATGGTCCACTATAGAAGACATACAAATTCGTATACTAAACTACCGTTTGGCGTAATTATCCCGATTTTCGATATTGTGGACTTGGATCGTTTTTCCCGTGTGCTCTTCATATGTATAAATCATTCAATAAAGACTTTTACATGTTTATTGTTAGTTTAAGAACTGTATCGTAGCTTATAGAGCAAAACTGATGATGAGTTTCTAGCGAAAGAAAAAATCATGTAGTGTATATCTAAGAGAAACTACAGGCTTTTTTTGTCCCATCGTATTGGCTTAGTAATATTTTCGTTTATTCAACTTATTGACCATATTTATAAAAATCGATATTTGATTTCCACAGATATAGCTTACTAACGGAAAAAGAATTATCCATAGGCAGTAATGATTTTAAGCAGAAAGTCGATTCTGAATAAATTACTTGAGTTCACAAAATTAGTTAAGGTGGTGATATCAAGCACCACGTATTATAATGAATATATATATATATATATATATATATATATAAATTATAAATATATGTGGCTAATGGAATTTTGTCCAAAGCCAGACCCCTACATACATACAAGCAGTAATAATATCTAGTTTCTTTGACAACTATTGCCAATCCTCCTTTCTCTAATTTCCAGCTTTGGCAAGATACATAATACTCATTTTGAATATTGGTAAATACTTGTTGTGTCCCTGTTGTACATTAAGACATGGAGAAGATTCCGCAGGAGAGTGCTTACGATTTTCAACAAATGCTTCACGATATACATCCTTTCCCCCATGGTGTGGTCATTGGATACTAACGTGATTTCGAAAAAAAAAAAAAATCGATATCGTTGTATATTATTCCAATTTATTTTACTACGTGTATATTCCTCCTGGAACATTCAATTAATTCGTCAATATGTAGATATAACCTTGTGTTAATAATCGCCATCACGTTGAGGGCTGCTTAGGTTCCCGATATTTCACTCTTGAATGGAGCATTGGTAGATCAAGTGCATTGCAGTCGTTTGGATTGATACCAAGTGCCTGTTGTTTCAAAGTTGTACATCAAGACATCGAAAACACAACTTGACGGATTTGGTGTAAATCAAAACTTGTCACTCAATAGGAATATACTTCACTGAAAAAATAAGTGAATCGGTATCGCAGTATGTTATCATTTGAATTTGTTTTAGACATAAATATTCCTGCTGGAGTATTGACTGACTTTTAATACATAGGTCGATACAACTTTGAGATTATGGCATGTATTGATAGTCGCCATTAGATTGAATACTGCTCAAGTGCTAGGCAACTGCGCTGCACCCATTTTGATTAATACTAAGTGCCTGTTGAGTTCCAGGTGTATATCAAGACATCGATACCATATCGTAAGAGAGTGCTAACGCTTTTCAACAAATGCCTCGCGATATAAATCATTTTACCGATGATGTAAAGCGAAGTTCTCCGCTGAATAGGAATGTAATTTCGGAATGCCGCCGCCGTTATAACGGGAAATCTTGTTAAATAAGTTAGAATCTCCTCTGACACGCCTTCATTCTCCCTTTTCTTCCTCTTAATCTGATTGCCGACGCTCTAATTGCTCCACCAGGTTTTGATAATCTATGCCCGCACCAACTACCATGAAAAATATAATTTAGGCTCCGTACATTTCGATTCAAACTGATACCAGTCGATGTTGAGCTAGGAATGTGCAATTCTTTACTATATTTTTTACAAAGTTGTCTTGAATCAACTTCATAATATTGTGCCCTTCCAGTTTTAGGTATTACACAGTTTCACTCAAGGACTGTCTGGCTTATTGTCAACACTTAACGTTGCTTACTGGTCGATGTGCCAATGAATCTTGCCCTTCCAAATCCGTCAAACACAGTCCAGTTGGAATTGATTGGTCCGATTAATGATAACAATAATTAAGGTCGTTTTTATTATTTTATTAACCTCCTTAAGAAGTATTACCATTTTTGTTCTTATGACTTCGATACAGCTTGATCAACCTTAGGTAGTTCAAAAAGCTTATGGTTCTGGAATAAAAAGGCATGAATATGAATATATTCTACAAGCAATCGATCTTTGGCCAAATGTATAGAATTGTAATGGTAAAAAACAAAACTTTTCATTTTTATGTTTCTACTAATAGCATATTCATCAACATATTTCGATGCGAAGTAACCATTTTCGTTCCCAATGGAAAAGTCTTTAGCATCACTAGCTTACCCGCTGTATTCTTATTCCCTCCAGGGGATATTTTTCAACAGTTTCCTTCCGAATATAGCGTCTCATATAAAAAGAGAGAAATGAATTATGTGTAAGCTTTTAACTTCGACCTTAATAAATCCTCATTTGAATCGTATACATTATATATAAGCGCTGAGGGTATTTTTCCCTCCGCCTTTACTCCGCTAAGTTGTTCTTGAATGATACAAATAGTGCAGCCTGCGACTGCAACAAGCAAACGAAGAATTATGATGTCTTTACCACAGCATATACAAAGTTATACAGCAACACGTTTCCCGATGATATGAGGGGTGCGCACATGGCATAACGCACATCCATTCTTTTAGATGCATCCGCGTAGGCATACACCTACATATCGAGACATCACGACTGCTATAATAGTCCAGCTAAATAGCCGAAACTGCCGCAAAAGTGATAACATAGCCACAAAGTTATGTCCGCTGGCATAATGGTGTAATAAAGGCTTCCGAATAATGTCGTAAGAGTTTGGTTTTCAGGAAACCAGACATTTTTTGTAAAACAGCGAAAAACCCAAAAAACCTCTTCGCTGAAACGGCTGAGGATATCTGGGATTTTTTACACGTAAATTTATCTAATTTTTGGTCTATCAAAATAAGTATCTGCAATGGTTTTGCTAAATTGCTTAGTTTTCGCGCTACAGCTTGCTGATTGCTTGTAGCGAGGGGCTTGCGGGTTGCGAGGTTAAGGACGTACTCATATTTCCAGCTGCTGCTCCGTTGATAGGCCAGTCGATTTCGAATAATAAGCTTGTTTGTAGTTGTGGCATTCACCGACGTATCCATATTAATGAAACTTTGAAATATATGCGTTTAGGTAGAGTACAAGATGCAATATTTTCTCTTCAGCCGCTTACCGATTGACTGCATAAGTGAGGTATAGTACTTTCATTTAGAATTGAAACAACGACAAAAAACCTAGAGCTGCAAAAAAGGTGTGAACGTGTATATAAATGAGTGGCACTGATAAGAATACATTACAGGATGTAGAAGCCCAATTAGTGATCAAAAGACTCGTTTCCGAGACTCCACGTTATTTTCATAATCTACGACCATGATGAGAGATTTAGCAGTTCTTGAGCCGCAACTATACGCTGGGCTAACATACACCAACTCAAATATGTAAAGAATTATTATGATGAGCATTTGACGATGTCTTCTCTGCACAGTTGCTGTGGAAACCAATAATAATGCCCACTGGTCTAGTCCTAGTCTCAATGTATCGGTGTACGTGTAGACACGGCAGTATGCTCTGCTGTACAACTTATCTGCACAGGACTTCACACCTTTTTTGTGCAGCTCAGGGATTTTCTGCGTTTCCAATTACTGATAATGGAAGGACTAAAAGTGTGTGTGTGTGTGTACATTTCATAGTTGAGTTAATTGAACAGAAACATAATAATAAAAAAATTGTCATCCTATCAAAATAGAAAATTCACAAAATTGATGCATGTTCCGATAAATGGTTCGTCCATAATTTCTTGTTTCCAACGAAATATACGGAAAAAATATTTAACTTCAATTCTGAAATGTACACACACTTACCTCACTTGTCCAGTCAATCGACAAGCAACTGAAGGGAAATAACTCCACTTACTTAAACGCATAAACTCGGTGAACGCCAAACTGACAAGCGAGCTCAGGGTTCAAAATTCATCTGGACTATTACTGAATAACCCCCACCATGTAGTAAGAGATCATCTGTTTGTGTAATCAACGCATGGATGGTAGGGCTGCCAGGTGTGGCGATTTTTCGCCAAAGTAGCGATTTGACAAATTCAAATGGCGACTAAAATTGATAGCTTGGCGATTGGCTACTTTAGTGGCGCCCAGAATCCAGCAAATCAGCGATATCTGCCGATTTCTAGCATTCCTGACGCCACTTAACTTGTAATGTATTTTTGCCGATATAATAATAATAAATCGTCTTTATTTAGGGAGCGAAGTTTACCATAATGCTACTCTGCCAAAAAAAAAAAGAAAAACTGAAAAACAATACAAAAAATATAAATACATTTGATAGGTTGCAAGTTTAAAAATGTAGGTGCATAAAAAATATGTTGTATATAATGTATATAAGTGAAAGCTATTCAATATTTCAGGAGTTGAAAGTATAAAACTGTAACAGTTATACAAACAAAGGAATGCTATATTGTAAATATTTTTGTGTATTCAAAATAAATTTCTTCATATGTCTTCATTATACGATAGCAATTTTGTGGATCGAGGTATAGCATTGTTAAAAATAATTGTATAGATTAATGAAACATGAAACAAGGACCAGCGAAAGTTCTGTGCTCTAAGCACAACGGATTCGTCCCATGTGAATGAACTGATAGTTTCGTTCAGATTACACGTGTCTAACAAACCCGCCCTCCCCATCCTCCCTCTCTCCCTTTCCAAGGAATTGTTTATTATCATATAATATTATTATTATGCATAATCTCCATCACCTCCGCTCTTCAGTTAAAAGGCAGGCACTACCCCCCCCTCCCACAAATTCATTCCAATCTCTAACCTGGCATTTTATGGTTGACTCATAGTTATTTCAAAGATTGGCGATTTCTGGCGATTTTCTAGTCAAAACTTTGCGACCAACGTGACTGAAAACAATGCAGGAATGCAGGTGCGCGCGCTCTTTGCCCGCAAGCCCCTCATCATCAAAGCATCAGCAAGCTGTAGCGCAAAAACTACGCATTTTAGTAAAAAAATTGTTAAGACCTTTTCTGATTGCCCAACAATTAGAAAAATTTACCTGTAAAAAAATCCCAGATATCCTCAGCCGTTTCATCGATAAAGAGGTATTTTGGGTTTTTCGCTGTTTTACAAAAAATGGCTGGTTTCCGGAAAACCAAATTCATACAACAATATTCGCAATCGTTTATTACACCATTGCGCCAGCAGAAACAACTTTGTGGCTATGTTATCAGTTTTGTCTCAGTTTCGGCTATTTAACCGGACTATAAGGACCTTAGACAACTTTTTGATGGAATTTTTGGGATGCGCAATGTCAGTAGGACTGGTAAAGGACCACTGGTGCAGATTCTCGACACTCTAGGATCAAATGAGCGAACGTATCCACCAGTTCTCAGTATAAGTGGCTCTAAAGACTTAGTATGGGACATAGCAGGTCCGTCAGACAGGCTCAATGTGCGGCGGCATATTGGAGGAGGGCTCCAAGAAGCAAAGTCCGCTGGCAGAGTGGTAGAAGAGAGCCACATCGCCGACCGCCTGTCAGTGTGAAAGAGTCCAACAAAATCATGCGAGCAGTACTCGAGGCTGGTCCTAAACAAATATCCCAAATTTCTTCCATAAACTGTCGCGAGTGGCAAGATAAACTCGTGCCAAGTCAAGTCTTCGGTAACCTGGACTCCGACTAGCTGAAACGAGTGGCTCCTTGACAATATTCGGTCATCCAACTTGACCGGGATGTACGCTAGGGCGCTTCTGGTACAGTTCTGTATTTTGGAAACAATAAATTGTATCAGATTGTTGCATCCCTAAGCAGTGACAACTTTCAGATCTCTCATCAAAACTATAGATGAGACTGATTTTTACCGAGAGGATACTGAAAGCACCGACTAAACGATTGTGTGTGTGAACGTTTTATGTAGGAAAATAAAAAATATAAACATCGTATTGCAAGTGGGTCAAGAGCGCATAAATCCAGCACAAGCTTCATGGTGTTGCATTGTTGTGCATAATTGTATATGCCTTGCTTCTGTCATGCTTCTGAATGACTCTTAACCTTAATAAATAGGAAAAGGAAACGTAGCACAGATATTGTTTACTTGTAAGATTATTCTGGTAATTCAACCAAAGCTACGACCTATTCCTGCTACAGAATGCGGAATTTAATTTATTAAGCGACTCCAGAGGAAATAAGAATACGAGGAAAGTTACATTATTAATATTTTCGAGAAGCTTTTGTAGGGTTGGTCGTATTTTCATGATGCTTTGAATGCCTCGAAAGCTGCTCGCAAGATTACAATAAATTTCAAGATAAATGTGTCTTAATGTAAGTAATTTGCCAAGAATTCAACAGTTGTTGGTATAGAGAATCTGATAGGTAATCTCTCAAATAAGCATGTTTGCTTCCCTTCTCCACCAACAATGACAAACCGCAGACAGCACTGTTGCGTGCTCATTAGCAAGTTAGTACTGCGGTATATGTTTTAGGTCTAGTTTTGGAGACAGACGGGACAGGGAAGCAACTGAGTGGGGTTTTGCAAAACACCATACCTACCCACTTGTTTGCTATCAGTGTAGTATGAGTCCACGAATTGACCTAAATATTTCGCACTAATGAAGTGTGAATGAGCTTTGACTTGGTTACAGGAAACGGAAAGCAACCATGTTCATTTCAGACGTGTCTATTTATGCACATATTATGCATATAAAAGCCATTGCTGGTTGACTCTATGAATACTACTATACAGTCGACCTTGACGGTGCAGTGCGACATCTCTATGCTTAGCGCAGAAAGTCAAGCGGTTCTGGGTTAGATTTCGTGAGGGTCTCTATTTTGATATACGGGATGGCCCATCCATGTGTTAACGGAATATTACTCATAAAAAATACATTTTGGGAAAATCTATTTATGGAATCTTATACATGACATTTGAGGGCACATTTCTAAAATATTGGCCACTATAGGGGGTGTCCCAATTTTGACCTACAAATCAAAGCTGTATTTTTCAAACAGAATGCCTCAAATTTTATTGCATATTTGGATAAACCAATTCAAAAGAATAAAATTGATATAACATAGTATGGGGTTTTGATAATAAGCTCAGTAGATATAAGGTGTTTAGTCTAGGAAAACCCCCCACTTCCACAACCCCTCAGTCTACCATTTTGAAATTTGGAGTGCTAAAAAAACTGACACACCACAGCTTTTCTCTTATTTGTTAGTTTTTTGAATTTTAATTTTTGCTCATACAGGGTGGTCAAATACGCAAATTGTAGTTTTTCTCAAAAATTTCAAATGGATCACCCTGTATATTTGTGCAAGTTTGGATTCAATATTTTATAACCTTTTTTTTTCACACTAGACACATAAGGGCTTTTACGGCTATTTTTTCGGTTATTAGCACGCCTTTTATGGAACGGCTTAATTCCCTAAAATAACGCATCATCCTCGGAAACAAATAAATTGTTGATTAGTTACCCATTGTCAAAATTAGCTTTGTGAGCATTATAATAAAAACGTATTTGAAAATGAATTTTTCTAAAGAAGAAATTGTGAATAAGGTGTTCGTTTTGGGCAAAGCCCAAAGAAATGTTTCCTAGCATCTTGTATTTATAAGCAACGTTACCCTAATATGCGACATCCAAGGCCGGAAACATTTTCCACACTACGAGAACGTTTTGAATCAAGTGGAGCAGTGGAATATAGTAAAAAATGTATAAATAATCCAAGTGTCACCAATGAGGCGAATCAGTTGGAGGTTCTATTAAAGTTGCAGAAACTAATATAAGCAGAACTTCTGTCCAACAGATTATTTATTCATAAGCATAGGTACCATCCATATCACCTATGCTTGCATCAAGGCCTTCGTCCTCAGCATTTCGCTAAATAAAGTGAATGAAGACACTACCTTCCTGGATAAGGTTCAGTTAAGCGATGAGGCAACTTTCATCAGCATAGGTGTTGTCAACACGCATAACATGCACTATTATGCGACGGAGAACCCTTATGAGTTGGGCAAATAGATTTCCAAAATAAATGGAGCTTGAACAGGTACAGAATACTTGAATTTTTTGATCGAGCATTTGTCTTTGATTTTGGAGGATGTCAACCTGCAAACTCGGATGCATATGTACTTCCAACATGACGGCGCACCTGCGCATTATCATAATCGGGTGCGTAACTATTTGGACACCTGGAGTAACAATTGTTGGATCGGTTATGATGGGCCTATATCCAGGCCTCCTAGATCACCAGATATGACACCGATGGACTTCTTTCTATGGGGCTATGTTAAGCAAGAGGTTTATAGATATTCACCATCTACCCCGGAAAATATGCAGGAAAGGATTAAGGATGCTTTTCTGAACATAAGGGAACACATGCTGAGGGATGTGCAACGGTCCTTTATCCAAAGACTACGGCTGTGTATTAAACATGGTGGAGATATTTTCGAGCAGCTTTTATAGATTAGGTCTTGAGTAGTGGTAGTTGTTCGTTTATGTTGTAATAGTTGTTTTTCTCCATTACGCTTGAAGCTGATTTATACTGTTCTGATTGTTATTAGTTTTTATATCAAATCTGTACTCTTAGAGGCAATATGGAAGTAGTCCTCTGTTTGTCTTTTGTTTCCATGGATGATGTGATTTTTTCCTTAATTCTGGTGTGTTGTTCTATTAAAACCTTAATAACTCAAAATCTAGTGATTTTATCTGAATCAAACTTGATACCAAAAAAACTTATAAAAAATGGAATTCAAACCTGCATAAATATACAGGGTGATACATTTGAAATTTTTAAGAAACAGTACCATTCGCGTTTTTGACCACCCTGTATGAGCAAAAATGAAAATTCGGAAAAGTAACAAATAAGATAAAAGCTGAGGTGTATGAGCACTCCAAATTTCAAAATGCTGGATTGAATTGTTGTCGAAGTGGATGGTTTTTCTGGACAAAACACCTTACATCTCAGCAGCTAATTACCAAAACCCCTATAGTATGTTATATTATTCTTCTTCTTTTGAATTGGTTTATCCAAGTAAGCATTAATTAAAATAAAACTTTGATATGTAGGTCAAAATTGGGACACCTTGTATACTTGCCAATATTTTAGCAATGTGCCCTCAAATGTCGTGTATAACATGCCATAAATAGCTTTCCCCAAAATGTATTTGTTTATGAGTAATATTCCGTCCACACATGGATGGGCCACCCTGTACAGTGTCTGTCCAATGCTTGAGGAACACGAAGTACTTAGGTAGCATTCATGTTGTCGAAAGATTTATAGATTATTCTGTAGTTGCCTCGTACCTTCGTCCTTGTGCCGCCAAATGAAACTACAAATGTTGAATTGTAAGATAACTATCGTTTTGGCCACCTCGGTAGCATTCTTCAAAGTACATAAGAAACGGCAATGACCGCATATTTTATTTATCTATCTTTCAGTAGGCGCATTCACTAATTTTCACAAATGTCGGCCACATTTTGCGCTGATCCCCTCAGGGCTGGAATTAAACCTTATACATTTATAATATTCTGTCTCAAAATCAGAATGAAAATCGAGAAACAAATTTTCTTTATTTATCATTGTAAGCTGTGAACGATCTTTCGTTTTAAAACTAGAACCGAATCGGCAAACTCAAGTTGAGGTGAAACGTATTCAGAACTATGAACCATACGGATAAAATGCCATCAGGTACAAGTGGTGAAACTTCCAAACGCTTTTTTGTATTCGCAGCTAACCTCTTTTGTTCTACCGCCCAGAACAAAGTTTTTCAATACACATGGAGCTAGTTAAGAACAGTTTTATGTCTGAAACCTCAGCCATGTTATTCAAGCTCGAGTCCCCTCTATACATTTAGCACAGGTATTTCAACTCTCATGCTAAAGTAAAGTACTAACCTTACTGATATGAGTTTTACCAACTGATTCTGGTTTATAGTATATAGAATATTGGAGATTTATAGGTAGATCAATGTAGTATTTTCCCAAAAAATCCCCATACATAACAAATATACAGATATGCATAATTAATAATCTGCAGAATACATGCAAAGATATTTCTTTGAACGAATGAAAAAAGAAATAAGAGGCATACCGGCCGCCATAAGGAGCCGGCGCATAGGTCGCATGAACGGGCACTTATGCAACATTATATTCTATAAGCCTCAAGCTGCGCCCGTCTTGTAAAGTTGAGTATAGTCCTGATACCCATCTCGTCAACATTCTGGGTTTCCAAAGTGTTGAACCCCAGCATAGTCTGCCCACAGTCTCAGATCCTCACAGTGACACGGAACATGCGCCGAGGACACTTCCTCTACCCCGCAGCTCTTACACATGGGATTCTCAGCTATTCCTATCAAACGCAGTTGGCGCCTCATCGTGTTATGGCCAGACAGTAGCCCCACTAACGACCTGACGTTGGCTTTATCTAAAGATAAACAAAAGCGTCCATCCTCAATACTGGACTTTACGATGAGTTCCCGTGCCTGACGGATATGTCTAGATTCGCTTCTCCATTTCTTAAAGTGTTGCTTAACGAATCCAATTCTCCATTTTCCTCCTGACTCTTTGCGCTGTCACTCGTAGCTTGCCCGCTGATCTACGAGTTCGCAAGAGCGCCCGCCATTTGATTAGCCTTTACCTAGCGGAGCCTCTCTGCATTGCAATAGAAGGCTCGAAGTAATCTTGCAGGCATTTAGCGCCTTCATCGCAGCCTGGCTGTCGAGGAATATTCTTCTCCTAGGCCTTTTCCCCTTTAAAATGCGGGATACGCATAGATTTCTGCCTGGAAAATAGTGGTATATCCGCCGAGAGTCAGAGAGAGCCTAGTTCTAGGCTCCAAGACTCCGGCGCCAGGACCCTCTTCACTAACCGTGCCGTGCGTATACCAGAACTGCCCACATCCTTCCGAGACCTTCTGACTTCTGATTTCTGTGCAAACTCATACCGAATAGTGACTTCAGTGACAGCAATCGTCGAGCGACTGATCGGGTGCCAAGATGAGTTTCGATGGGGTTGCGGTAGCTTCTAATGAGAACAGTCCCCAAAATGACCGGACTAAGATAACGTGAACTTGCTTATTCGAGGGTGAATGAAGCACTATTTGCTATTTTTTGTTTCCAAACTTCCTTGATTGGGCAACCTAAAAAAAAGTTGTGCGCAGGACAAAGTTTTAGCAGTAGAGTTTAGAGAAGGAAATAATTCGATATAGAATCAAACGAATAAATTAGGCAGATAATTTACTTCGAAACTTCTTTGAGAATTCTTGCGGAATAAAACGTCTGGGTGGGGAGTAGTTGAGATGAGAAGGGGGCTCCATCCTGTTACGTAAATGAGATGATTCGACTGAGGCGGTTTTTCACCGTTTTTTGTCTTGCTCTATTTACATTTCGGCGATCCGACCCTTCGCTTAGCAATGGCGGAATTGGGGCTTCTTGGAGTAATTCGAATTATTTCCAAAATAAGAAATAGTAACCGCATACTGGTAGTTTCTACAATGGTAAGTCGATCTATATTAGTCCGAAATTTCGAAAATACAAATAGGGGAATTTCCTTAACCGTGACGTTTATGTAATATGTCAATGAGTTAGTATCAATGTATATCACTTTGCTGAGCTACAGAATGTTGTAAGAAATCAGCTCTAATCTACTTTTATCATTTTGCT